CATTGTCCAGAGAAGATGACACCAACTTTACAACGGTGATCACCTGGCTATAGCAGCATCATCAGGACATTGACCTTGACACTGTAGAAGTGATTGCAATAATTCCCCCTAGCCCCATCATCCTCTGATCCAATATTTTTGAGGTGTTGATCACCCTGTTAGCACATATGATACTGTATCTTGCCAGTACCTATTTGCAGTGGCTAAGTAACTTTAACCCTATAGCCTACCGTATCCTGAAGAAGAAGATGGACCTTTATTGATCCCCCAAAGGGGGTGTTACAAATACACACACAGTTATATATGCAAACATGCACATGCACATTGAGAGGTCAGAATGGAGGCAGCCAGTATAGCCGGCGCCAGTGAGCAGTTGGGGGTTCGGTGCCTTGCTCAAGGGCACCTCGGCAGTGGGCCAGGATGTGAACTGGCTCCTCTCCAGTACCAGTCCACACTCCATACTTCTTGGTCCGATCGGGACGTGAACCGGCGACCCTTCGGTTCAATGTCCTAGCCTCTACAGACTGAACCTACCAATATGTCAACCTACCAATACTAAAACAAACTACTGTAGTTAAAAATGTTGAAGTTTCACAGTGTTGTGCTGATGATTGAACGGACTGTAAAAATAAAATAATATCTATAACCAAGAGAGTTGAGTCCTAAAAGGCCAAAAATCTATTATTCTATATTACTGTCATTTTGTGAGATGGGGCAGTGAAAATCCTTCTTGTTTTCCATTTTAAATGTCACAGGGTTGGGTTCAGCGCTGACAGCCATAAGTCCACTTGGCTCAAATGTGAAATTGTTTATCAAAAATAGCTCTCTGTGAGCCTTACTGTGCCTTTGACATACTGATATTCCGTGACATGTTATCCCACAAAGTTATTTCTCTTGTTTACATTTTACTTTTGTTTTACATTAGTGGAGTTGATTCCTAAAGGCATTGCAACATAATGGTGCTATATTTCATGATTTGTTTGGCTGTGCATTGTAAGTAATTAGAGTTGTGGCAGTGTTTCCACTGAAAACTGAGATCATCCTTTTATGCATGTTATAGGAACGTATTTCACATTTATTTAGCAAAGCTCCCAAAGACAGAGCTATACCGGAGTGTAAAAAGTGTGAAAAAGCGTATTTTTCATTTTCAGCAAACAGCAATAGTGAAAAACAGGATCTTGCCCCTCTGAAAAATGCTTTCTACTGTACAATTAATATGTCTTCTGGTTTTGATTATAGTAGCAATGTCCTGACGTCCAGAGGGGTTCATCATATCCTACATTCTGGTCAGGGTTGAAAGGAAATAGCATGTTGTTTTTCTGCTTTTCATGAATACTAAATACAGTGAAATCCTGGATCTTTACAATATTTTCCAGTGTCAGGAAATGTTACCCCATGGTTGAGTGAACAAAATGTCAAAGGGGCTTAGCTGTAAGCCAACAAAGCAGGTATTTTTATGGTTCTGTGGACCAAGTTATATCTTCACCAAAAGCACGTCAATAGATAATAGCTGCTGTCATCTATGAACTATTGACTGTTACAGCATGTACCTCCAGCGCTATTACTAATTCTGCTGCTTCTATTGCCATGGTATCGAAACACTGAAAGGCCTTAATTTAGTTCAAAACATGTGGAGATAAGATATTCAGCAATCAAGTACATGTTTCAATCGAAGCACTCATCATCCAATTAGACAGGAAGCGGCAGATGGCCGCACGGCAGGGACAGCTGGTTTAGAGGTTTTCACTGTGTGTCTGTCCATCAGCGTGTGCTGCTCTTGCTGAAGCTCTCACAAGTTTGAGGCTGAGACTGTCACAATTGTCAGGAATGTGTCACGAGCACCCTGCATCACTGAGATGAGGTGTTATGTTGAAAATGTTTGATAAAGCAACAGCTCCATCTAGTGTTATGGGGTGATTTTCATTATGGCCATGCTTTTAGTGCTTCTGGCCCAAAGGCTTCTTTAAAAACTTCAGATGCTTGATTACAGTGCAATGTTTTAACACTCTGTTTGTAATCTTACCACCAGACTGCACTGAGAAAAATGTGTTGGTGCAGTAAAGTTTTGGATGTTTACCAATTCCATCTAGTGGAGTGAAATGCCCTCTTAAATACAGACTCACTTGATTGAGGATCCAATGTTTGAAAGCAACTTACTATAGCACTACTTTTATGTGTCTCTAAGAGTTTTATTTGGTAGAATCAAATAAAGTATTTGATCTGATATTATATTTTAAATTTGAACTGGGTTTGCCGTGATTCACAATGTATCAGTTGGTTATTTGGTAATTGCAAATGTATCGGGTAATTTGCAACCCTAACCCTAATTTGAAACCCTTGAAAACACTGAAACACACTATCAATTTAAGCCTTTAATTTAACACCTTTTATTACTCTTAATTTAAAAATAATTGAGATAAATTAGATTTTTAAAACAAATTTGGTGAATATGTCGTAGGGAATCAACATCAAATATATATACCTTGAAAAGACAAACTCGTGAATTGAGCCAATAATGTGTAAAGGACATAATTTAGTCTTTTGATACAAATTAAGTAATATTAAAATTGTCAGTTTTGAATGTTGTGCTACCTTAAAATAGGTCCAACTCAATTTCCAATGAAATCTCTAATAGCCACAATGGAGGGTGGGAACAAAAGAAAACCAAAGAAAAAAAAACCTTGAACCTCCACGTAATTTCAGCTTGACGCAATGAGAGTACTTTTTTGCCAGCATACTACTGCATACATATGCTTATCTGAGCCTCGCAAACATCTCAATATACACCAACTCCCTCTCCACTCCATCCCAACACACACTGGCTGTTTCTCAGGCTCCCGGCAGCACAGAGAAAGAGAAAAAAGGAGATTGTAAGAAGATGGGTTTGGCCTGTGAAGCGTCGGGAATCAATGCATCCGGGCTGCCTTTGAAGACTTACCATGTCAGATCCTGCAATGCAGAAGTAATGTTGAACAAAGGATAAATAGGTTAATTGAAATATTAAGCGAGGGCATGCACAGGAAATCGAAAAACCCAAGGGCAATGCACAAAATAAAAGATTTCCCTTTTATAAAGGTGATTTAAAAAAAGCATTTCCTGTATATTAAGCTCTTATATTCTATATTTGCTTTGCTGTTAAGGTTTTTGGAAAGGGTTTGACTAACCTCCAAAAAAACTCCTTGTTTTACAGAGCAGTGTCTACGAGGGTACCGAGCTTTTGCAACAGTGTATTCACTACAAACTCTAATATCGAGCCGATGCTCTTGACACACAGGAATATGCTGCCATGAGCCTTTAGATGTCCTTCAGCATGCTGGGGTCTATTTGGCCCTACTGCGCACAGCAGGTAATATCAGACATTTACCTGCCATTGCCTCCTAGGGCCCCCACTCTGTCCTAGCTATCATGAAGCCGTCTGACACTATCTTTACCCATGCATTTAAAGGCGGAAAGGAAGGGGGAATGGAAGATAGAAACCTTTGATCATCACTTCATTCCCACTACGGGCTAGAGAACATTACAGAGAAAAAAAAGAAAATGTGTTAGTCTGGCTCCTCAAATGAGAATGAGGTCCATCTCTGTCTGCTGTAAATTAATAGGAATACGACTGCAGGTCAGAGATGATTAAGAGCGTAATAAGTCCAGAGAGTAGTGGAGGATGTAAGGCACTGTGATCCTGGCAAAGCTTTTTGCATTTGTGTTGTCTGGAATTTTCCTTACAATATTTAGCTTCTTTTAAAGTGGGAAACTTAAGAGGAAGAAGAGTAGTGCTGCTATTTCTTGTGTTTCTACAGCCAGTGCAGCTTTTAATAATTACTAACACTAGTACTGTTATTATTTGGATTTATGATTAAAGGATTGCCTATCCCAATTTGGTGTCATTAGCTTCAAGTCAAACTAAAGAGGCAAATAAAAAACATCGATAAAGCACATGGATGAAAACACAGGTTCACTGGTGCCTTGTGGATACAAGTGGTCTGACCTTTTCTATTAGTGATTCTACAACATTGAACAACAAAATAACTAAATGTAAGGGGCATAACAATTCTACATTGACAGTGTAAAGGTCAAACTGTGTGTTTCTCTATCTCCCCCTTACAGCCATAGTCACCGAACATTGCATACTTTAAATATGACAACATTAAACTATAAATGCCATATAAATGAAAATCTATAATATTTCAATTGCCAGTGACCTTGATGTTGAGAATTAAGTTGTGTGGACTGGCTGACAGTTTGAGCTGAGGCAGAGCTTTCTGTTGACACCCCACTGATGAGTCATAATTCGCCGACGGATATTTTTAACTTACAGACTACAATAATTCTCATCTGGGAAATGATTGCCTTGCTTATTTCTTTCCTTTAGTATTAACAATTTACTGCCAAGCCAGCCTGCGATCTCCAAAAACTGACTGAGTTATTAACTTGTTATTTTATGACAGTCGCAGAGACAAAAGGCTGAACGTTACATTTATCTGATCACATGAGCTACTCTGGAAAATTGAAATTTGGGTTCATTGAATTTAGAGCTTAGAGATATTTATGGATGTGTCCAATCCATACATAACTCTTGTTTTTATTTAGCAGCCTGAAGAATGTGCATTAAGTATTGTGTAATCTTTTGTATTATTGCAAAGCAGTGTTAACACATTAAAGGCATCATTCACATGTATTTCTCGTGTGTGTGGGGCAGCATGGTGGTGCACTCATGCATATTCCTCTGCTTGACTTCCACCTCTTCCTCAATATCTGCAGGAATGACGGTGTTTTGTATAAAGACAGAGGAGGAGACAGTATTTATTATAACCTGCTGGAGCCCCAGGGGCTTACCACCTCATATTTCATCTTAATGTTTCTTCACTCACAGGCTCCCATTTTTTTCCTGTCTCGCCGCAGCCAGGAAAACTTCAGAGGAGAGAAACAACAATGGCAAAGCAGGTGACTCCGTGTTCACAGTCAGTCTCACCTTGGCCTTATCTGGGGCTCCCATATCTCAACAGATTAAACTGCCTAAATTAGACTATGCTCTCGCCGGACGCAGTGAGACGTCCCCCGGGAGCTGTAGAAGAACGATGGGGTTCTGCGGGATCCGGGAGTGTGGTAACAGGCCGTGCTGGGTAGGACATTATATGCCGTGCCATGCTGGTTGGGTGGGCCCCACTGTGCCGATCTGCATCTATGGTTTCTTCTCCATGATGAGGCCTATAGAGCCTTTTATGACAGAGTTTCTCACAGGAACTTACAAAAACCTCACTACAGAGCAGGTGAGGTACTGAGCTATGAGTTCAAATGTCTGTTGAAAAAAAAATTGTAACTTAATCCTTTGTTGTGTTGCTGTTTTATATATATTCTTAAAAAACTACTTCAAGTATAACATTTGAAAGTCTGTCTAGGTGCTCAGAAGTTTGAAAAAAGCTTTGTTATTACTGTAACAGGGTTAAAATGATAAATTAAGTTGAGTGTGGCCGTAGAGGAGAGATCTAGGTACTGAAAGTTTATGATCTCTGTAATCTGATTACGAATACCTAAAGCAAATTGCATTGTCATTTATTACTGGATTGTATCATTGTTATAACAAGATTTGTTTTTATAAATGATGATGTGGTGGTTACACTAAAAAAGAGAGGCTAAAAGTACGAAAAGATTCACAGCAGTCTTGCCAGTTGTTATCCATATATTTTATCAAGAAAAATTGATGGACTAACCGACAAAACAACCATTACTCTTGTGTCTCAATGGGAGAATGTGTGAATTACTTAGGCTAGTTACAGTTTGAACTAAAGCAATCACATGTTTTGTTAATAATTCAACATTTTGCCTTAGAGGAAGCATTTGTATTGTAATATTAATTGCCTTTTTCATAATTTAACAACATTTAATTCTCTCTCCATATATGAAAGTATAATGTACAGACGGAGCAAACTGATGTCAGCATTAATAATGCAACATCAGTAGAGCCATCCTGTTTACACGAGTGAATTCAAAGCTTTTGGTGCAGACTGAGGAGAACACCTCACATAGTGGCATTACAAAGTAAGAGGATGGGGTCCTTCACACCTCTGCAATGACGATCACTTTGTGATGCACAAGGGAGTAGAGGAGGCACTTTGTTCACACAAATTATGGAACGTAGACACAAGGTGTACTCATTTCATGCTGAACCGTTTATTTTGCAAATTACCTTTTGAAACTCCTGAGTGCCTTTTGAGATTTCCTATGAAGTCCAACTAAGTTTGTGAACAAAGTACAGACCACATAATGTAATATCCTTTCACAACCATACCAACAGAAAGCTCTTGAGAGCATAGTTGTTTCAGGTAAGACTAGCACTGAGCTGATATATTCTAATTAACTGTTCACTCAACACTCAATCGGCTCTCTATTAAAATCTAAAGGATTAGGAAATCAAACTTAATCTTAAAATTAAATATCTTAAAACACTTCAAGTAATACGACACATTTAGGGGAGGGATGGAGATCTGAAATAGCACCACTGCCTTAAAAGCCATCTTTGAATGTTGTTTTAGTCAAAGTAGGAGGGAAACACAAAACAACAACTTAATGGGAAAAGCAATTTAAGAGCCATATTTTCACTTAAAGGAATTTGGCTTTCAAGCTGCAGCCACTTTGTTTATTTGCATAATATTATAATGTATCATCTTGTCTCACTGCGAGCCTCATTTGTGCTGCTTCCTGTTCCATCCTGTACATGCAAAGATTCACTTTTCCCTGATAACGAATAGAGTTGGAACTGTATGTGGCGTGCTGCTCTCGTCCGGTACTCTCTCAGCACTTGTGAATCATTTTCCCCAAAAATAATAAGGTCTTTGTCTGCCCTCTTCTATCCAGGTGAATAGACAGGTGTATCCTGTGTGGACTTACTCAAGCCTGGTTTTCCTCATCCCAGTCCTCTTGGTGACAGACTTCCTCAGGTACAAGCCTGTAATCATCCTCCAGGGGCTCAGCCATATCACGGCATTTGTGCTCCTCCTAGTTGGCTCGGGGGTCCGCTCCGCTCAGTTGGCCTTCTTCAGCTACAGCATTGCCATGGCAGCAGACGTGGCCTATTTCTCCTACATTTACAGCGTAGTTCAGCCCAGCCACTATCAGAGAGTGACCAGTTATGTCAAAGCGGCCATACTGCTGGGCTACTCTGTGGGCGCTCTGCTGGGTCAACTGCTTTTGTCGTTGGGTGGGGTGTCCCTGTATTGCTTAGCTATTGTAACTCTTATTTCTGTCACCATATCACTGATAACCTCCTTGTTCCTGCCCATGCCTAAGACTAGTTCATTTCTCAAGGGTACCTTATCTGCACAACAGAGGAGCTCAGGTGAAGACAATCAGGAGTCAGGAAGCCAAGATGCGTGGGTGAAGAGCGTGACAGCTGCAAAGCATGTTGGGAGGATGTTCAAAAGGCTTGCATTGGACTTTAGGACATGTTATTCCTCTGTGACTATGCTTTTCTTCTGCATATGGGCATCTACGGGGAAATGCGGCTTTTACCAGGTTGCAGGGTACATCCAGCTCCTCTGGGTATATATGGAGCCGGGAAACTTCACAGCCTTCAATGGAGCAGTGGACGGCATCAGCACATTGTCAGGTAACTAATGCACCATTGTTACACTTTTATATCATGCCGGTTGCCTGGAGACCTGACAGCGATGATAAGACTTCTGCTTGCAAAGATATAGCCTACCGCATAACTCACACTTTTCATTTGAGCTGTTTTACACATTCGACTACAAAAATAATTGAAGAACTACACACAGAGAAAACACAATCCCTTTCTATTATCAGTATTTTGCAAACCCCAAAAGTATGGCCGACAATGGGAGCAACATTAATTTGACTATTTAATTGCCTGCTCTCATCCCCAGATGGGTAAAGCAGCTGCTGCCATCCAGCTAGTACACTTCTATTGATTATAGTACTGATACATTCCTGTATTCCCCCAGAAGCCAAAGGCAATTACTCTGTGTAAACCACAACCAGCTGTATGCCTTTCACTTGTAAATGTTTCTGCACAACATGCAGTCAAGCTGTAGGGTCCGGTGCCTGATATTTCCCCAAAGATTCCTCTTGTATTCTCCTCTGTTCCACTCGTAGTAAAACATCCCTGAGGAAAAAAACCTGGTTGAAACCGATAGGGAAAATATGAATATGGATTACCTGCATGATAATATATGGCAGGGAAAGAACAACATAATTCACCTTTTTTTCTCCTATCAGCTTATTAATAATTATGTGTCCTGAAAAAACTATATTTTTCGCAGCTCATTAGGATAAAGATAAAACAAAATGTGTATGCAGAAAACAGAGTTATGTTCTGTTGTATAGTATTATTTTCAAGGAGAAGTAGTTTAGAGTAGACCTAGCTATTTATCCAAGGTTTCATGCAGTTATTGTTAATCATTTACACTTCAAACGAATATTTAACTTTAAGGATAATGTATTCATGACAGTTTCATTTAGTACATTCCCTTCCCCAGGTCAGGAATGTCCAAGGTATTAAATGTAATTTGGCCTGCAGAATACATTTCCGTATAGATTCAGGCCACAAACTGGAGCTCAACGCATGCAAATTCAAATTGTACTCCCCCACATGTAACACACATTATCTGTTATCTAATCAGCATGCAAAGACAAACACAGCATGAGGTATATGTCTTCATGTTTGCCACACATATTACAAAATGGTGTGATCTGCCTGCAGCTTTTGTTTTAACCTTTCAGAAAAGCAATTCAAGTGAAACTGATGATGTCACTGTGATACTGAGGATGGCATTAGTTAAACAAATGCAGGAGAATGCTGTTTGTGTCCCGTATACAATCAAAACAAAATACTAGGTAAATTACGTCATTTATTTCAACCCAAACCTGTTATGATTCGTATTAGTTTTCCCTGTTTTATTTTGTCCCGTCTAGATCTGTCTTTGGTTCCCTGTTTTTTTTGGAAAAGTGTTCCCCCCCGTCTTGTCTGTTGCTTCCTGTCTCTGTGTTCACCTTGTTTCTCCTCCCTCCCCCCTGTGTCTTGTTTATGTGATTAGTCTTGTGTGCATTTAAGTTCTGGTTTTTCTATCTGTCGTTGTGAGATTCTTGACGTTGTTGGAAGGGTTTATGTTCTGAGCGACTTTATGTTTTGTCTTGCCTTGCCTAGTTTTGACTTTGTTTGCCTGGCCTAGTTCTGGAAATAAAGGATTCCTGCTTTCAACCTATTTTCTGCATTTGGGTCCTGCGTACCTTGCCCTCCAGCCGTGACAAAACCGATATCTTCTCCAACACTTTACAAAGTAGCTTTCTTTACAAAACATTACCAAGTGTCTTACATTTACAATGTTAACCCGTATATGCATAAGTGGGTCTTTTTGGACTTTGAGGTGGTTTTCTTGAAGTATCTTTGTAGTTACATTTTTTTATCATTTCATATTCCAGCTATTCCTCAAAAAACATGTTTTGGATATCATGCCATTCACATTTTAAATTTAAATTTTAAGAAATTGTAGTTTTTGTCTTACTACCCCAAGCTTCCATAAGTGGGTCATTTTCTATGGAATCCTATGGGAACCTTTGATTCTTATCACCTGTGGCCATCAGGAATACATTCACTGTAGACCACACAGACTACATCAAGTGACACCTCTCAGGAAGATTATTTTACACAGCAAGATCTGATACCTGTCAGTATAATAATAATAATAATAATAATAATAATAATAATACATTATATTTGTATAGGGCTTTTCAAGGACTCAAAATCACTTTACAATATAAGGGAAGGTTAGGGTGGGGGGTATGGGACTATCAAACTTGATCAACCGGCATGGATTGATGGGGGGGGGGGCTATGAGTAGACAAGAGGAGAAGAGAGGAGTTTTGAAAAGGGACTGGAATACTGTGAGGGTCTCAGAATAGCGGAGATCTTTGGGACAATATGTTCAAAACGGTTTTTTTCAAAATGTAAAAAAAGATTATAAAATTATAAATTGTGAAAAATTAAATATAAAATATTAATAAGTGATTTTTTTTAACCAAAATGACAAAAATGGCATAAAAACACATATTATTCTAATACGGGTCCTTTTAGACCCACTTATGGAAGAGTGTAGGGTCCAGACACTCGTGCATCTAAGGGTTAACAACGTGCTAACTGCAACTGTGGTAAATGCTTCACGTCTGAGGCCATCCTATGTGTTAGAAAATAATGCTTAGGGTATAGGGTTCAACTGTTCGCACTTGGTCAGCCCTAATCCTAACCCTGGTAAGGTTTATGGATATGGTTATGGTTAGGGTTAGGGTATAGGGTTAGGGTTAGGACTGACTAAATGTGAAAAGTTGTAAATTAAAAGGGGTTGATACCAATGACTAAAATGTAGGATATCTTTATCGAAATTGGCTGCATTGTTTTATAGATGACCATGTTGATCCAGTTAGTTGGTCCAGACGTTAATACTACCAGACCGATTTCAGTATTAATTGCTCCCAGTGGACAAACACTAATGAGTTCTGGGAACTCTTAAAGTTCCTCTTTTCGTTGCATATAGAATTGGTTAAATTATACATTACGTGCAAAAATGAATCGAATTAAACTGGGATATGTGCACCAATATGGTATTTACCACAAACTCCTGCTGTGTGAACATACTGTAGAGCCCAGCTGCGTTATTGATCTCGCTCTATAAAGCTGTACAGCTGGCTCCTGCTGCCCCCGCAAAGACTCCAGTTTGACCCTGCTGTGGAAAGAGCTCTTATTATTCAGGCTCCATTTGACCCCCCTCTGTTAACCAGAGCCGAGGGGATTGATTAAGTAAGTCTTAAATACACACAGGCCCGGGTGAGGTCCATGTTGGACGATTAGCACTGATTGAACACGAATGGACGAGGACTCGAAGGAAATGTACACATTTAAATGAGTGCAGCAATTATACCCAGCCCCTTTATATTCGAGTAGATAAAGAGCTCAGGGTGAATGGATCCATTTCCCTGGGGACACAGGCTTTCACCTATTTACACTCACCTCAATGAATGCTAATCAGGTTTAGGAGTTATTCAATCTCCAGCAATATAAGACAGGTTTCACAAGGCAGAGGTCGTTATAGTTTCAGAAAATGTGATAAACACATAGGAAGTGAGTTAAGGTTATTTCTAAGGAAGAGAAGTGAGGAGACAAGGCCAGAGAGCATTTCAGAGGATACAAAGAGGAAGAAGTCTTGATCCCCCAACTGTACATCCTTTAACAGGGATTAAAATCACTTTACTCCTTAACATTTGGTAAGAGGAGCCTTGTGATGTGGCAGGGTTGCACTGTGCCACCCTGTGGCTGAAATAAGAAATGCTGATGTTTTTAAAGTATTACTATTAATACTATATACATGTTAGACAACACTATCAGAGAGGAATTATAGTAATAATATGCTTTGCTACTACAGTATAGACAGTCACAGTTGTATGTATTGATGATTAAATATGTTTTTAAAATGTGGGTCTAATTGAAGAAAAAGTGTTCGGCAGAAAAAAGGCAGCAAAAGATTCAAATGAAGACACATCATGCGCACAAAACAGCTTAATCGAAATCGAATACATTTAATATGAGTGGCTTGTGAAGGCTTATATACAGAAGCTCTCTTTTGACATGCTTTCTCCAGGTTATTATGGTTGTCTCGTTTGGAACCATTTGATATCCAGGCAAAGCCATATCAAGGTTTAAATTGTTTTAACTTCACCACAACAACCAACAGATACAAAAATAATTATTTTTCCTTTTTTAAACAATATGGTAATGAGTGAGCCCCCATTATCTAATACTAACATAATTTTTTGTGTTTATATGTGTTAATTACTGATAATCTTATTTCGTTTTTCTGTAGTTATAAACATTACCATTTCAATCAGGAGAGACGGTTTTGATGTAAGAATACATATTTATTACCAGGAATACACAAATAAATGTAATGGAGTTTTGGCGATTAGGCCCCGTTGTGCAGGAGTATCATTCGGGAGGGGAGAACCGATCCGATGAAACCCCCCCGGGGTCTAGACACTGGTGGTGGTGGATGGATAGTTGGGTAGGGGAGTAGTTTAGCTTGACCCTGGATTCGAGGGACGGAGGTGAAAAAGGGGGTGGAGGAGGGTTGCGTTGAGTCACCTGCAATGACAGCTGTCAGAGGGGGAAGAGCAGATTTAAAAGGTTTAGCGGAGTGCTATGATAGGCTTGTGGGAATAGAGTGAAGTGATTGGTTAAGCTGGGGAGTGACGCCCCCGATCACTTATTGAGAGGAGAGAGTAGTAACATCGACATAGTAAATGAATGAGTAAAGACAGTCTTCCTGGTTGAACTTGCGCTGAGCTTCATTAGCTTGTGTGTGGCAGTTTAAATTCCTGCATGTTTGCCGTATTGTGGAAGGACCACAAAGAGGTTTGACATTGCTTTATTAGATTATTTTGCCCACCATGTGCCTTAAGTTAAAAGATCTGGCCAATAATTAGATAAACAGCATAATAAAAGTATTTGAAGTCTCTATTTAGTCTGTTTTGCTCGACCTTAGTAATAATAATAATAAAGCTTTATTTATATAGCACTTTTCTAACAACACAAGCAGCTCAAAATGCTTTATAAAATGACATATCACAAGTTAAAAATAAATTTCCCTCAGATTATTTGTTAAGAACAGTAAAAGGTACATGCAGTAAAATATACAATTTGATCAGGTTAATAGACACAAGGAAGTAAAATGTATGATAATAAAAAAATAAAATGTTTTCTCTCTGACAGATAAGACACAAGACAACTGAGTCGATGCAACAATATAAAATATAAAACCCCATAAAACAAAGTGAACATATAGGTACAACAGAAATAAAAATAAAAAGGTCAAATATAGGTAAATAATAAAGACTAATAAAGAACATTTAAAATGGGGGGTTGCTAATAAAAAGCTAATCTAAAAAGATGTGTCTTTAGCTGTCGTTTAAGTACTCCATAGTAGTGCACTGACTGTGATTGTGCTGTCCTTCAGGAGCTGCAGCCACTGTTGCTGTGGGACACATGTCTCTGGAGTGGTCCGTGTGGGGGGAACTGGTCCTGGGGGGTTTCACGTTCCTGATCGCTGGAGCTCTATTCCTTATGGATCGGACTGACAACATCTGGATCAGCTACTCGTGCTTCTTCCTCTTCAAAACTATTTACATGCAGCTCAGCACCATCTGCACGTAAGAATGCATTATGGATATGTCAGCAGCCTAATTTGCATATACTCGGAACAAGAAGAAAAACTGTTTAAATATTTCTATTTGTTCAAAGCAATAAGGAGGAAAAAAAATGTGTTTCTCTTTATACTATTATTTATTTTACTTTGTACAGCATGTCTTCTGTGGACAACAATTTAATATTTTAAACAAATATGCAATATATGGTTTTGTGATATAATAAAATAGTAAATTATCCAAACAATTATTTATCATTTGATGAATATTGGACATTTTAAAAACTCTACTTACTGCTTTTTTTCCTCCTCATTTTCTGTCAGCTTAATGTCTGATTCTACATTAATAACGAAATCTGTTCTGCTTCAGTCAGTTCTCTTTTATTTGAAGTAAAGAGGATGATTTAAAATGAGAGGAAGGAAGTCCCAATGTCCCCTGAAAAGGACATGGTTCATTCTAAAAACTAAGTATAATATATTAAAGACTTTCATGTATAAGAAAACAACATCCCTATGAGGAAAATATACAATATATATAATGAAAACACTGATGATGTGTATTACATCACTAGCCCATAATGTGGGATATTTACCTTTATATTTACTATTGTAACAAACTGTTTAATCAAAACTGTGTCAGACAAATTAATAACTTTCACTTTATTTATTTCAGCTAAGAATGGCAATTCTGGTATTGGTCACTCAATACACCAAGGTGGCCCAGTCTGAATTATCTACTATAAGATTGATCGCCATCATGGCCTTCAGAGGATGCTACTGTATGACTTCAGTGATCCCTGACATTTCTTCTGGTGCATCCATGACGTTGACCTTTTTAATTTTAATTGGAATGTGTTCAAAACTATTAGATCGTATGCCATTACATTTTGTAAAGATATCCACGTCCCAAGAAGATAAACCCTAATAACTTTGGTAATGACTTATCCTCTTGCAGCACAAAGGTTTGCCCTGCTTTGTTTTACAGCTCTGTTGAAAATGTTATGTGCCATAAGCTGCCCTGGTTTTAAAAGTAATACCTATAATAATTGACAGGAAACAATCAAAAAAGGCGGTTATCAGGTCAAAAATATTGTCTATTACAAAATATCTGCAAAACTAATGAAATCCCAATTATTCTTAGCTAGACTGCCTTTAAGCATTTGTTTGCACGCTAACACCATAAAGTAAAATGGTGATATAGTTAATAGTACCTGCAAGCTAAATAGCATAATAACATCATTTTTAGAATGACAGCATGGTAACAAAGCACTCCCCTCAAAGCGACATCGGGCTATAAGTACAGCATCATTAAGATGGTATGGACAGCAACAGTTTACGGATACATTTTGTTGTGATTAATATTTTGTTATACTTGATTGTCCTTTACTGTAGGCCTTCCTACAGTACATATAAGTATAAGTGACTTTCATGAGCATCTCATTTGTGTAATTCCCAGTTTCCAGATAGCCAAGACGCTACAAAGGGAGCGCTATGCTTTGGTATTCGGATTCAACAGCTTTGTAGGCACAATCCTCCAGAGTCTCCTCACCGCCATTGTCATCAACACAAAGTCTCTGAAGCTGACCATCACCTCGCAGGTACAGGTACTGCAGTACATACATGTTCATGTAGTTAGCATATGCTTTATTTTTTTTGGTTATCACATTTAAAGAAAACATGTAATTATATAAAACTAGAAACTTTACTTTGCAGATACATGTGTACGTAATAATAACAAAAGTATGCTGTTTTAAGGGCATTCAATACAAATACAGAGAGAGTCAGAACATCAGAGACAAAATGAAATAATTGGATTAATGAAATCGCGGATCGACAATGCAAGTCATTTTTTCATGTCTTTGCAGTTCCTCATCTACGCCTCGTACTTTGCTGCCTTTTCCCTGCTGTTCACAGTCAGAGGTGTGTACACTGCGCTCCACATGCAACGTCCTGCTGGAAGCAGCCAGACAGAGAGAGACAGCAACCTGCAAGAGGCATCGCGCCTGTGAAGACGCTCAGAGGAACATGAGGAATGTTTCCCATAACTGTCATCAATTATCGCATGAACAGAACACATGTTAGGAGATGCTTACATACATAAAGACATTAAATCCAACAAAAAGTAACTTTTGTTGAGTTTTGTATCAGTCTGTCATGAGCAGGAATTAATAATCCATTCCACAGATGTGCTGTGAATTTAATTAATTTCAAGCCCTAAATGTTGCCACTAGAGGTCACTCCCTGCACAAAGTAAAACAAAAAAAAACAGCTCTGAGGTGGTTTCATTTGAACCCTAAAATATTAGATAATCCTTATGTATGTGGACGTTTTCAAGGTATATACAAATAGTATGACAGAATAAGTGAATTATTCAAGGTTTGGACATTAACAGTTGACCATTTCAGAAATGTTTCCAAATACTGACATGTTTGTGTTCTATATTATTTAAAATACTTAAAGGTAGGGTAGGTAATTCACTTCATAAACACTTTTTGTTATATTCCATGGAATGCTCTTAACATCCCGATAGCGATGAATACATTAAATGCTCAGACAATAAATACATTAAAAAATGTCATCTGTGGAAGCCGTGGCGCTGTAAAAAGCACAATAATTGGATGGCCTACCTGCCTGTCAGCCCTCCATCTTGTGCACAAACTTATCTCGTGTATTTAGTCTTGTCTTCCCCTGTGCTCCTTGTCTGTTCGTCATCGTTTCTCGTCTATGATACCTGTTAGTCTCTTTGCTCTTGTCCATGCTACCTGTCACACTCCATGTTTGTTCCTGAGATTTTTTGTCCTGATCCTTCCCCGTACTCCCCCGGTTTTGGTATGTTAAGTTGTTCCTTGTTTTCTTTTGTCATTCAGCTTTGGGAAATAAAGCTCGCTTTTTGTTACCTGACCTTTTAATCCTTTTATTGCATTTGGGTCCTATTTTTCCCCAACCCTGACAGTACGAACAGACCAAGAATGGACCCATCAGACAGCCTGTACGAGGTGACGTACAATTTAATGTGCTTAACAAATGACTGTCGATTCGCCTCCAGTAGAGAAGAGAGTCAGTCTATCATCTCTACGGCACGCCAAGAAGTAACCTCGAGGCCCTGGTTAAGTGACTTACTACCCGAGTGGGTAGAGGACTTTTTCGGTAGCTTTGAGGTCAAACCTGTTTCCCGGCCTGCTAAGCCCAGGCATGCTAGCCTCCTGCCTGCCACAGTTCCCAACAAGGCTCCTTTCGAGGACCCTTTTGCTGGGTCTCGTCTGGCCTTTGGAGGACCTCTGAGCCTCCACAAGGCTTCAAGGCAGCATGGAAGGAGACGCAAGGCCAGGATTCCAGCCGGTGCCCCAGCAGCCATGGTTCCGGTTCCGGTCCCAGTTCCGGCCCCAGCTGCCATGTTTCCGGCTCCAGTTCCAGCTCCAGCTCCAGTTCCTGCCCCAGCAGCCATGTTTCCGGCTCCAGTTCCGGCCCCTGCAGCCATGTTTCCGGCTCCAGTTCCTGCCCCAGTTCCTGCCCCAGCAGCCATGTTTCCGGCTCCAGTTCCGGCCCCTGCTGCCATGTTTCTGGCTCCAGTTTCGGCTCCAGTACTGGTTCCCCGGCCGACGCCAGCCCCCTGTGTCCTGTCGGCGTTCCGACCTGGTTCTCCTCCCAGAGAAAGACCGCTCCACCTCAGTCCTCTCCAGCCAAACCCACAGACAGAACATCCGTCACACTGAGGTTTCTCCCAAAGTCTCTGCAGCTTCCTGGTCTCCACGCTGTCTCAATTGATCCACACTGTGAATATGAGAGGGGAAAATGTGTGTAATAAATGCTTTAGACCAGGGGTCGGCAACAGGCGGACCGCGGTCCGGAACCGGACGCCGACCTATACGGACCCGGACCTATAATCAATACATTAATAGGGGATTTCAATTTTGACGGGGCGATTCTATTTTAACCGCTGCCGACAGGGGGCGAAAGAGACGAGTGAGCGATACAGAAGAAGAGATGAGAGCGCGGCAGAGAGAAGCGGAGAGGAAAGTGAGTGAAGAGAATAATTAGCGATACAGGGAGAGAAGACGGAGAGGAGAGTGAACAGGCGTGTTAGCGGCAGACAGGGAGAGACAAATAATTACACATGGCGCTCTCCAAGAAGAGGAAAGTGGACAGTGAGAACAGAGCTTTTAACCCTGAGTGGACGGACTCATTCATGTTCATCCTGCCCACTGGGAGCACAGAACCAGTGTGTCTCATTTGTTCAGAGACCGTGGCGCTCATTAAAAGTGCCAAAACTCCATGAGACAAAACACAAAGTGTTTGACCAAACATTCCCTCTCAAGTCAGAACTGAGGTCACAAAAAATAAGCAGTCTCAGAGCCCGATATGATCAGTCCACCAGGATCAAAATTAAAACTAAATATCGTTCCAGGGCAGGCTAACCGAGGCTAACCAATGAGCACCTGCATGTGTGTATGAGAATGGCCCTGACACCATTTCAGCCCAGATTTAAACTCCTGGCAGGACAAACTCAAGCTCAATTCTCGCACTGAATTAAAAAAAAGTGAGTGAGGGACTGCAATATAAGAGGGAAAGAACTTTAAAACTGTTCAATTGTTATGATGTGTAAAGACTGATATTGTTCTATAATCGGCTGAAACTGTTAAGTCATGATGTGAAACGGTTAACAAAGAAAAAGGGAAACTCAAGCTGCTGCTACACTTTATTTTATTAATCTAAAATTAAGCACTTTTAAGATGCACATATTTTCAAAAGCTATTTTATTTATTTTCTCCTATTTTATTTTGAAATGCAGCCAGAGAGGAACATTACACATATCCACAGTATTTTACTGTATATCTGTATAGTTCAATGTTAATTGACAATACATATTGTTGTTTATGAATTGTACTTTCTTTATTTGATTGGCAGTCAGTTGTTGATTACATGCAGATGTTGATAAAGCTACAGGCTACTTCAATATATATCACACTAATTCATAAAGCAAGTTAGACATTTTGATGTTCCGGACCTTTGCATGGGGAGATTTTCTCTAACTGGACCTCGTTGAATTTTAGTTGAATACCAATGCTTTAGACAATAAGAAATATGAAGTTAACTGTAAGGAGTGGCTCAGTTTTTTTAAATAAACAATACTATTACTGTATTGAATTTATTAAAAGTATAATTAAGTAATAGCAAAAAATCAATAACTAAAATCATGCACATATTTGAATCTATGCTGGATCCACTGTTGAATTTACCACAAGATATATATATTTTAGAAACCTGAAGGCATTTTAAGATTTGTATGCAAGTATTATCCCAAAAACTCAATACCTTAGATTATTATTGAAAGTTTTGCTGAATAGTTTCATGTTCACTTACCTTAAGCAACGTAAAACGTGCATACCGGGAGCAACAGATGTAGGTTAGCCGGCTAGCATCACAGAGCAGCACTGCTGTGCATGTTAGCTTAGCTTGGTAGCCTCAGCTAGCTCTGGAACTTCCAGCTCGGTGGCAGGAGGTCCCTTCTCGGCTCCACCTCTTTGCCCTTATTTGGATCAGGCTGGAGCAGGCGGGAGTTAGACTCTGACGTTACTGTCGAGCTGTTAGTGGCCGACACCGCCTACTTTAGGCTTCTCTGCAACTCTGCAGAATCCTATGGGTGACGTCACGGACACTACGTCCATTTATATATACAGTCTATATGGCCCTACACTGAAAAAAGAAAATAGTTGAACCAACTGAATTGAATTACTTCAATTGGTAACACACAATTTAATTAAGTTTTTTCAAATAAGGTTTTAAATTGTTTTAACACAAATTATTTAAGTCAGATGTAATAAATAATTTGTTTTCTTTCAAATCAACAGTTTGCATTAATCAAGCTTACATTTTCCAAGTTTTCCAACTCAATTATTTGCTTTACCCAAAAGTACGATACTGCTCATTAACAACCTAAAACTACAGTTTCACAAAAAGTATTTATTGTAAGTAACCTCGGTGTGACATTTTTGTTTACTAAATATAATTTAAATACTTTATTCACAATTAAAATGTTAAGTTGGCTGAAAGACAAATCATGGACTCAAATATAATGTATTTATACTTTATTATATAAATGTACAACATTCATTTGTCTATCCTAAAAACAGTCTTTGGACCAATACAAAGTGTGTAATTAACAGACAAACAATAACAGTTACCTAATGTTAATGTTAAACACTAACATCATGTGTGCCATCTCCAGATATTAAGAGCATAAATGCATTAACAAGTAGTACAAATGTTACATTAGGCTATAAAGAAATTACAACACAGTCGCATGGCCTTGTGTCACCACCGCTAAGCTAAAGGTGGCTAACGTTAGGCGTGGTGGCATCAAGTAATCACTAAATAGCAACCGCTGTTTTTAGGACACAGAAGCTTTTGATGTTCACCAGTGGGGTATTAACTGACACGTTTTATGTTGTAGACCAAAACGTGGAAATATTTTCGGCTTTTCAACCACAGACCTTATTTCAGGCTGACAACCAAAAACACATTATCTTCAGTGTAGCACTTAATGATTTGGAATGACTGGGTAACAGGACAGAGTGGTGCAGTGATGATGTATTTTTGCTGTACGACCCTGAAGTAAGCTGCTGGTTCCCTCGACAAAAAAGCAATGGGATTTCTCCATAGGATTTTGGAATATTGTAAAAAATAAGATCTGAAAACGTGCATTTATCTAACAGGTTTGTTTTCCACAGATCTTATTTTTTACAATATTCCAAAATCCTATGGAGAAATCCTGTTGCTTTTTGGTCGAGGGAACCAGCAGCTTACTTCAGGGTCGTCCTACAAAGATACATCATCACTGCGCCTCTCTATTTCAGGCTGATAACCAAAAACCCTTTCGAAAAACACATTAACAGGACATTGAAGCAATGGTGAAATACATGAAGTACCGAGATATTTTTACTTAAGTAAACCACTGCATGAAAGCTATTAGAAACAAATATTTAAACATTAACAAAGTTTCTGTTCATCTGAACCGTTTCTTGGAATCGAAACTAAAATGGTAAAACAAAAACCTAGAGCACCCACAACATATTATTTTTACATGTGCACTGTCCGATGTCAAGACTAGGGTTGCAAAGGGGCGGAACATTTCCGGTACATTTCCGGAAAGTTTCCATGGGAAGTCAAGCTGGGGAATTTTGGAAATATTCGATGCAAAATTAAACAAAAAACATGACATTTCAACATTTAAAAAAAAATGTTTTTAAGTAGAACAGAACAAGTTTTAATTATTTTATTGCACAATTATTTGTTTCATTGAAGAACGAAAACAGGAATGTTGAGTTAAATATTACTCATCCCCCCCAACCCCACACATTAACCTCTTAAGCACGGCGGTCCCCCCATTGGACCCCTCCCACCGTTTTATTTTCGAGACAATGTCTCAGGGCTTCTTAACATTTATGAAACTATTAATGTGTAGCA